AATGTGCATATAAAAAATGAAATACTATTGAACTATCAACATTCTTTTGGGTTGGGGGAGTTACCAGGTACAATCACAATAAACTCCACTCAAACTAAGAGAGAACATATATATTGCATGTAAATACTGTCCATGGTGTCAAGGGAACCCAAGACCGTAGTGCTGTAATGTCACAAATCTAGTCACTGAGCTGCCAACCTTTTCTTTCCTATCGTTTCTTATAAATCAACTCCCATTTTAAATCTGATTTCTAAAAAAAATGCATTTTATTAATTATATAGCTGGATAACAAACCATCATCACAGCTGTTGTCCGCAAGACTGCTTCCTGAAGTGATATGAAACATTTCCTAATTCTGAACTAGTTGTTAAAATTGCTAAAATGAAACATCACAACCTTAATTCATGAGACCTTCTTCCATTACACACAGCTCCTTGCTGTTAAAATCAGAGCACAGCTTCTCAGGAACCATGTGTACTGGCTCTCACTGACACTCGATAGGAAGTGTGCCAAGCTGCGGCAGCTTATTCTGAATTCACTACAATGAAGAAAAGAGGCTCCAAACGTATTTCCACCTCTTACGTGACCTGAAATATCCATTACCATCGTCCGCTGAGAATATTTCATCGCTGCACTGGAACTGAGGATGCAAACTGATCTTTTTGTCAAATCGCTACATCTGCACGTTTGTGTAAATAAACGGGTTTTAGAGATTGCTTGTGACACATTGACGAGCTCGATATGAGCTATTGCTTCCTTGTTATTTGGCTCATTACAACTGTTGTTTTGACAGGATTTTTTTTCTTGCATGGAACACATGTGTACATAGAATGGTTGACTACACTTAAACCTTGTTCCAACTTGTGTCTACTAATAATGCACTGGACGCCAAGAAAAAGCAGTGCCGTAAGAATAAAATAAACAAGGGAGAAAAGTGAGTTGTAAAGTTTATATGAACTAAATCTTATTTGTAATTACAAATGGTACAAATGTAACAGGAAATGTAAGATACCTAACTTGAGGAGGTCGGCTTTAATTCAGGTGATAGAACTGATTGGATGGTTGTCACTTTTCATTTCCTATGCATTCATGAGATGTTGTATGTTCTGCTATTATTGGTTTGTATGTTTGAAGACACCACACCACTTTTCTCTTAGAAATGGTAAAAAACAATATAACGGCTTACCTCAGGATCTTTTGTCATCCTTTGGAACCCCAAGCACACCCCAACTGTATATACACCCAGAGCAAAAACTAACAGGTCTATTCACTAAAGGGAGGAGAGTGTGAAGAAGGCAAGCGAAGTGAACAATCTAGGACAACATAGCTGAACTGAAAAGTGAGCTGAATTGCAGAATGTTTCCAATTCAGCTATTTTGGCCTAGATTGTTCACTTTTCCTTCCTTCTGCAAACTATTCACCCTTTAGTGAATAGACGTGTGAATGTCCCTTAACAGGGAGATGTGGTGAATATGCACCTTTGTAGCTTGGGACCTCATAGCTTCGGAGAAAACTTTATGTGGATGATTTCTCCAATTACTTGTATGTATTAAGTCATCCAGCTCAATGCACTCCTTAGGACTCTGTATCAGGGGAGCTCTTGGAGGGCATTTTGAGAGAGCACCAACTATTACCTTTTGATGCTTGTGGGAAGGGATCCTAATTCTAAACACAACAGGGTAAATACATTGCCTGGCCCAAAAAAAAAAAAAGGGTTGCACTCACTAATATTTCGCTGGAACGTCTTTAGCTCCGATTACTGCAGACATTGGCTGAGGCATCATTTCTATAAACATGCATATAATTGCTGAACTCCTGATGAAAATGCTTCCTCCATGCCTGTCCCTGGGTTCAGAATATTTGGAGTCACTGGCCTGGAGCAAGAATGCAGTCTATGAAGTTAGAAGGAACTCTGGAGCTCTGATTTGCATACGTGTTCTTTGTCAGTGACCCAGAAAGTATTAAAGTCATTGGATCAGTATTACAGCTGGACAACTAGCAGTTCCAGAAGCAGTGGTCATTATTGACAGCCCTTTATTTCCTTCAGTAAAAATTGCCTTTGGACCATTCACCCTTATACTGTTTAAAATCTTGGATTTGAAGAGCACTTGGCAGACATTAGGAAAAACTAACAAATGCCCCCTTTTTGAAATCTATGTGGACTGAGCTCTAGTATGAGCATCAAGAACCATTTTTCAAAAGGGAAATTTGCTCTTTGACTCTTCTCTGTTTATAGCCTAGTTGTCAACACTGACGTTCCTTGCATACGCTACAATGAATAGACCTGACCTAGCACAGTTCATTATTTCCTAAGGAAGGTGATTGATTCAAAAGTCCTGTGCTTTTCGTTCATTTTATTGCTGGTACTCTGATCAGTGGTGTAATGAACACATTGTAACTACTGGAATATTGTACTGCTTTCTTCTACTTTTAGTGAAGTGCATTGCCATTTTTCATTAAATACCTAGATTTTTCCTCTGTGAATCAGGTCAAGGTAATTAAAGTGAAAATGTTAACTTCATTTGAAATACAAGTGTTTTTAAACTCTATATCAGTAAGCAGTTTCTAGATTCCGACACCCCTGCCAGAACTCTACAAGGTCATGACCACTTTTCTCCACTACAGTCAAAACAATGCAGCTTGGTTGTGCAAGAGCAGCTCTCATTGATGATTCTCTATCCTTCAGTCAGCAAACTCCATTTGTTAGACTCGCAGCACTATTCAATTGAGTAAAGTTCTACTGGCTTACCCCTCCCAGTGTGAATGTTGAAGTGCAGGAGAGTACAAAGACAGATTGAAGTACTATTCAGTGTACAGTTTAGTCATTTTAATGAAAACCTTCTTTAGTTTGTGTGTACGTGCCTTCCCTTCTTTCCCCTTCCACTCCTCCATTGATGGATGGGAATTTAGGGAAATAGCTGGCTCCTGCGGGTATATAGGGGAGCATGTGACTGCTTTTCCTCCTCTCAAGTAATACTTTAGTCTTTAGCCTTGTGTAAACTCAACTTGGATTGATTAGAGAGCTTAGAGAGGGCTTCTTCTTACCCCCAGCAGCAACAGGGAAGTGAATAGAAGATAAATATAAGATGCTGCCGGGGTTAGCTTGCAAAGTTCATCTGGCTGCCTTTATGCAATACCTAACCGGTCTTTATATATGCTTTGCTTATACATAAAACTGAACCGCAGGAATTAAAAAAATTACCCTTGCAGTGCCTTTCCTGATTCCCCACCATCACTGCAAGGGTTAAATGCTTTTTTTTGCTTTATTCCTCCCTCTTGCTGGCTTTATCATGCTCCTCTTGTTCCTGATGCTCCTGCTCCGGAGCAGTCCCTAACCCTCCTCACATACAATGCATAGTTGTTGGCCCTGCATTGTATTTGATGACCTCAGCATGCGTCTGTTGGCTGGGAGTGCCTTGGTCAAGAGTGAGCAGTAAGGTAAGTAATACACCTTATTCTTCAATCCTTAGACAAAAATGAGCTGGGTTGTTCCCAATGCAAGGGTAGTTTTTTTTTTTTTGGAGTTCAGATTTAAGCATGACCAAACCATTCCCCATGTAGGTGTGACAATTTAAAGATTGACTTTGTATCACTTTATTTTCATTTTCTGTTATTGTATTCCATATAATTAGATGCATTGGCTTTCTCTAGTGGTCATCTCTGTAGGGGCTCATTCACACCAGCAGACACACATTGAAACGCGTTGCTTTTGTTTTTTTAACTTTATATATTGTGACACTCCATTATCTCTATGCACGGTAGTGGCTGTGACGTGTCATAGTGTATTGAAAAGCATTGCAAAAAATGAAACATCCTACTTTTTTCAGTGCAATAGAAGATAAGACAAATCTCCTTAATTTCTATAAATTGGGACTGTATTGGGCAACACTGTTCAACACAACTCAACGGGACTGCTGTGAACGAGCCCTAAAGGTTGCCTAACACTTAGAGGGTTATTTACTAAGGAGGCGAAGGATATAGCCACAGCTTTCGGCTAATCCTTCAGCTCACTTTGGCCACCTGAGCCCTTCGGTCCAGCCGAACTGAAGGGCTGCTGTACGGGCTATTTGCAATAAGCACTTTTTTTTAACTTGGGGTCCCTCCTAACTTTCCTACCAGACTTTAAAGGTATGGTATAAATGGGAAAGGGGATCCCACACCGTTTCTTTTTCTTTTGTTTACATTTTTTTTTATCTCGGAGGTAGCGAGCAGAATAACCTATTCACTCAGTGCCATTCGGCCCCTTTGAGAACTGCTGAAGGTTTGGCTCAGCCGATCAAGATGTTGGATTGGCTGAGTTGAACGTGTTCTTCACTTCGGCTCAGCCGAACATGCTGAGTATGTTCGGCTGAACCGAAGGGAGCCAAAGCCAGCCGATGTACGGTTGAAGTGAATAGCCGAACGGTGTTTGGCTCACTTCACTTCAGCTCGGTTAATCACTTCGGCAGCTTAGTGAATAACCTCCTTAGTCTTTTCACCTCATCTAGGCTGCCATACTCACTGCTTTCACCTTATCTGTTTTTCACTGATGCAATTATTCACACAAGAAATGTCATATTTCAGATTTTATATAGCTCCTGTTATTTACAATATATTATGGGGATTTCAATTGAAAGCCATCATATTAAAGTCCTTTTGAAAATACAAAAATTTATCTGGTCCTTCACACACTGCCAGTCTGTTTGAGGGATGTTACTAGTCTTTAGGCTCTGGGTGGATGAAAAGATTCTGTAAATACTCTGAAACTGAATAGCTTCTTAGCAAGTCTTGCATCTAGGCTAACAACATCTGAGTTCTGTTATGCTCAATTAGGTAGCACCATAATTTGTTTTTAACAACCATAAAAAAAAAACAATTTGGCTTGTACACAAACATTGATCCTTCTTCTCCCTTGTATACCACTGTTAACACTCAGTAAGGGGTAAATTTATTTTGCTCTTATTGCTGGGTAGTCAGTTTAAGTACAGAGTCTCATGAGTGTCTTTTTCTATTACCAGGTCTAGGTAACTGCTGTCTGCTGTAGTTGAAAATGAGCATTGAAGAATCATGGAAGCTCCAGAGTACCTCGATTTAGATGAGATTGACTTCAGTGATGACATATCTGTAAGTAAACACAATGGGCTCCATAAACTGAACAAGTCTGGATGCCCATTGTAGCCAATAATGTTTTCATTTTCATGTGCTGTGCAGACCGTTGCAGACAAGGATATAGGTGCAGTTATAAGTACAGTGCTTATACCCACTCAGAAATAATAAATAAAATAAATAAGGAAATGTATTGTTTGTTATACATATTTTGTTTCCTTCTGCATTTCTTATGGTCAGGACTAAAATATTACAGTATGAAATATTGCATGTGATTATTATGTAGCCTTTTATTAGCAGCAGGTGGCACGCATTTCACTGCTTCCTCCACCTACCACATGTTGAAAATGTTGTTTCCAGAGGTCATTAGAGCAAGATGAAAAATATACACACAACTGGATAAGTCAGAGTAAAGACTGATCCCTTATCAGATGGCTTAGTGCTAAGGTTCATTGAAAGACAACTGTGCATAAAAGACAGCTAATTTAGTTAACCCAAAGTCCTCTAGGAATCATTTTGTCACATGTGTAGCATGTTTGTAAAACAAAGATTGCATACTTATAGTAAAGCAAACAAAGTAGTAAAAATTAACCCAAAACCATTACAGTTTCCCTTATGGGACCTAACTGTAGTAGACTGAATTCACATTGGTTTCTATAGTGTACTGTATGTCATAGTGGCTTTTTCTCTTATTAAATAAGCATACTGCAGTCTGATGTATCCATACTAAACATATTGTTAATATTTTACTGCACTGTTTTTAATTTCTTATACTAGAATCTTAGACTCAAAGTTCAAATAATTTTCATCTATATTTCATATGTCTTGTGTAATTTTTTCTTAAATATTAGACGTATGACATCATTGTTTTGTTGCCACATAACCCCTTTTGGTGCTGAGGTCTGCAGCCTGTGTCCTCCTGTAGAGCAAGCTACCTCTACATTTAATAGAAGGCAGTAAGTGATCATTTGGACCACTTTTTACCAACTAATTAATACTGCCATTTGACTCAAATGTTCAGCTGGTAGAGCAAAAAATTGGGAATTTACATTTTTGCTCGCCTTTAGCGTTCAAGTCAGCCTTTCTCAATTCTGTTGAACTCCAGGGTTCCTTAAGAGGTTTCCTTCAATGTTAGGAGCAGAATTTTCCACTGACATCTAATGTATGGGTGAGAAATGAAGTGAATGTTCCACACCAATATTTGTTCAGAAGGGATTATAACTAAATATCATTAGAATGGAATGAAATAGCCAACACATGTTAGGGGTTTAGACACTCAAGGCTTTGATGTTGTATAACCTTAGTAAGACTGGACTCAATAGAATTATTGCAACATTTGTATTCTACAATCAGAACATGGTTGCAGCAGATCACAAAGCAAAAGTATTGCAATGTTGTAATATGCTGCTACCATTCTGATCATTAATAGCACATTTTAGCAACATTTTTAAGTGATTGAATCACATGACACAAGGGGTGGTACTTGGTTGCTGTATGAAATCTAAATACGACCTTGGAAAGGAGTGTTCATTATTAGTGGCAGAAACTTTTCTAAATGTACACCAGAGTGAAATATTGGCTGCAGGAGAGCTGAAAATATATGGTTGGTTGGGTTGTTCAGTGATTTTGATGATGATATACCTGTCTTCTTGCATTGTTGCCATTGTTAGATCTGCCCATTTATGGTCCCTTAGAAGAGAAATGGAAAATTACATTTTTAATTTGACCCCAAAATTATCAATGTGCAGATCTTATGTTGTGAAGGAATTAAAAAAAATCTCAGAACAGCTGCATTCCTTCCTTCCCTTGTTCCTGTCTCACAGCGATATTCAAGGCAAGTGCTTGCAGAAGAAATCCTGACCTGTGAGTCACCCCAGTGCCTGGGTTTAGTAAAAAGTACTCCCATTTTGTAAAATGTGTCTGCCATACTTCAGCAGAAATGCAATCTAAATACAAAGGTCAATTTACCTGCTCCAGCATTCATTAATGATTTTCTTGGTGCTTACCGGAATACAGCCAATAGGCAGCTTTAGATAACCTCGTAGGAACCCAAATAAGCCCGGACAGAGAACTTGATCTAAAAGAAATTTCAAACATAGCATGAAATGTTTCTGTAGTGTTCTGAGTTGAGTATAACTGAAAGTCCTACTGTAGGCAATGCAGTTTTTTATTATTTCACTGTATGTCCAGAAAGAATGTCATATAGGTATACATTGGTTCACATCCCACATGTGAAGACATGGTATAATAATGCTTCAAATTGATTTCCTAGTTCATGATGAAGAAAGTATTAAAGGCAGGATCTGGGGGATGTTTCTATGATTCCACTACTTCTAACTTACTATGTAAAAGATTAGAGGGCAAATTGGTAATGGATAAATCCATAGCTTTGATCTGTGATTCACCCTTTGCAGTAAGAGGAATTTTACCAGAACAGTACACGAGCATTATTTACACCAGGCAGGTATCTACTTATTCATCATGTAGTAAAGTTCTACTTAGTGAAATTTACTATTGGACTCTGAAACAGTCTATCAATGTAGCAGCATGGGCTGTGATGCTCTTACATAGAATAAATTATATACAGTAAGTGCATATAGGAAAGGGAAGGAGATGTTACAGCAAGTGGAAGAAAGATCCATTTCCCTGCAGGTATCTGGATGTGAGCTTATAGAGTATAGAGGCATATTATATGAGAGCTCTTCAGAAATGACACAAATGAGGAAATAGAATTTATCCTGTACTGGTAGATTCTGCATGCATGGTTGTTAGAATGAACCACTCCGTATTTCTGCCCATTTTCCCCACTTCATTTTCAGGTAGTTGCTTCAATTATTAGCACTTGTGCCTTTGCTACTGCTACCTGATGTGACAGCCAGACACACAGCACTAGTGTAGAATTCAGTCAGGCACTGATATTTTAGCTAGCATTTGCCCATACAGGGCAAGGCAACAACATTACTTTATAGCCCAGTCTCCCAGAAGCAAAGTCACCTTTCCTTTGGTTCCCAACCCTCAGTTCAGCTGCTGGAAGCAATGTAAATACCCATTACTTCCAAGAATGAAGGAGCATGTGGTTCACCTTGTGACATTGCCAGGGATCCCAACCTGAAAGAAGCAATTTCATGGAGGTGTCCCTCTCATTTCAGGGAGGTGCCCTCTCCCCCCGCCCCATCCGCAGAGGGGGGTTAGGGGGGGCTGGGAGAGAGCACCCCCCTGAAATGATGGCAGATAGCACAGGAAGTAATTGCTTCTTTGCTATCTGCAGGCTTTTTTTGTAGTATTCTGACAGTTGCAGTCATCAGAATTAAAAAAAAGGCATAAGAATGCATAGCTAGATTCCTATTGGCTAAACTAGCTATTGCACCTGCCCTCTGGTGCTTTCAATCACCAGAAGAGGACCTGATAGAAAAATTCAGGTCCCCATCTGCTGATTGACAGCAGCAGTGGGCGGGTGCATTAGCTAGTTTGCTATTTACTATTGCAAAGTGCAATAGCCAATAGGAATCTAGCTATGCATTCGTATGCCGTTTTTTTTCTTTTCTGACTGACGGCGGGCCACGGTTCCCGATGTCAGAAAAGAAAAAACTATCGCAGGGAAAGGTTTACTCTGCTCGACTGAGCAGAGTAAACCTTTCCGGGGTGAGTGTTGAGTGTTTCTCTCCTGGGCGGCCGGGAGCCGCTATCTAATAGTGGGAGACTCCCGGAGCGTCCGGGAGAGTTGGGATGTCTGCATTGCTGGTGCTTGGCGATTGCATGGGCAAAGCACGTGTTGACTTTAAGTAGAATGTTTTAATATATCTTTATCAATAAGGGGGCTCATTTCTGAAAATGTGCACCTTTCCCAATTTGAGATGCAATGATACCAGATATTCATGACTGCTTGCATTGCCCTGTTAGCTAGAGCCAAGGGACACAAAAGAAGGTGTAATAGTATGTTTGCATGCAATGAATAAATGGTATACTTACTTTACAGGAGAGGGCTTGTTTTTTTTTTTTTTGCGGTGTATAAGTACTAAATGCTTCCCACAAAAATGTAGTCAGGAAAGCTGTTTTCTAAAGTTTTGAATGGTTTCCTTTTTCCTTCAATTGACACATCACTTTCTATGACTTCCTTTGAAAATACATTGTGGTCATTGTTCTCAGCGAGGAGGCTGGTTCAGTGCAGAGAAGGATATAACTGCAGAGTGATCTGTAACATTATTCAAGATAGGGAAAGCCACTTTGTAAAATAAAGTTATTACCTCCATAACATTCTCACGTAATCCCAGCCTTCGCTTTTTCCTCATTATAATAGCACACTTGGACCTGTTAACAATCAGATCGCTAAAAGGAAAGGGGAATGCTTTTGGCATCTGGTGCGATGCATCTGTTGGAACTGTTAACCCTGTGAGTTCTTGACAAACACTACTAGTACATCAACAGGAACTGGCTGAATTATTTGGTGCCATAGCACCAGGTCTTTCAGCACCATGTACACATAAGAGTCCTTTGTCAAATCTGACTTTTTCCATTAAAGTGACTAGCTGCTATGGATTACCAGGCAATTGCGTGGTTTAGCAAGCAAACAATCTGCAGTGAGCATTTAGGTGTAAAAAACTTTGCATATGTTATAGAGATTTTCAAGGTGCAAGACATTCAAGACATTTTTATCTTTTTTGGGGAAATTGTGGTTGCTAAAAGCCCTCTCCCCCAAAAACTGTTATTTATGTAATTCCAAGCATGTATCTAGCACCAACAGGGCTGGATTAAACATTTCTTCTCCTCTAGTTCACCCGTAGTGTGTCAATCCAGTCATCTGCATTGCTTTAGTATCTCTAACACTTTACAGACTAAGGCCCATACCACTTTCATACACATTCAAAGGGAAAGTAGGGAGTAGTTAACCTACCAGTATGTGTTAGGATTGTGGGAGTAAACCAAAGCTGGATTATCAGTCCCCCGGAACCAGAAACGGCACCGGTGAGGGAGTCGGACAACAGACTTAGGTAAGTATATCTTGCTTTGCAAGGTAAAGA